TCTATCATGTACTTACTATGTCTTTTAATTGCTTCAACATGTTTTTTTCAAGTTTCATCTATTAGGATCCTAATATCTGATCCTTTTTTCTTATCTAATACTGCACTTGCCCAATAACCTTTAAACCTTATGTTAAGATTGTATAACAAGATTTTCTTTTCTTTTTCTATAATGTTTGTTTTTGTTATTCCCAAGATTGCTATTTTTTCTTTCTTTGTTCAACCCAGCAGGTTTTCTAATTTTCAACCTCTGGTCTTAAGTCCATTGATATTATGACATGTGATTTTTATTTCTTTTATTCTATTTTTTCATTTCTCTTTTAATTGCTTGTATCTTGTTTCTGTGCTTTTTACTTTTTTCTTTCTTTTTCTTTTCTTTTCTTCTTTTGGATTAGAAGATTTTTCTTTATTTCTTTCTTCAAAAGTTCTTCTCTTACTATGCAAAAAACCTCTAATCTCCTCAACTTGGGTGCCCTCAGGAGCAGTTAGCCAGGCCTTCTTTCATGCCTAGCTAAGTGTCCTCTAGTCGATTAAGGCTATCTAAGATATAACCTAAGACTTTCTCTATTTGTCTTGTTTCTGCATATACTTGTATATTTAGTCTTGCCTTCTTTTTAGTTATATTTTTATCATTTCTTTCTGCATTAATGTTTTTGACTTCTAACCATTCTTCTATGTTCTATAACTAGGAATCACTTTCTATTTTGATGTATCTTCTATTTAGGGCCTAACCACTTTTGTTCTAGCATTTCCTGTTAGTAGTATTTCTATCTCCTAACTATTCTTTTGTATCTTGTATAAGAGGATTACTTCTCATTTCTATATGTCTTCTATTCTGATTTTGGCTATTTTTTTCTTAGCTTTTTCCTTTTCTTTCTCTAAAACTTTCTTCTTTCTTTATTTTATTTCTTCTTTTATTTAGCCAGAAGACTTGGAAATTGTTATATCTAATTGGTTTTGATTGGGCTGCCTTCATTTCTTTTTCTGTTGCAAATGTAACTATCATTGTTTTTCTTTGATTTCTATTTCTTTTTGGTAAGATAAATACTGATTTTGCACCTTTGCTCCTTAGGCAGCATAGCAGCAAGACTTCTGAGACATTGCCTGGCAGCTCTGTTATTTTTGCTGTATACTGACTCTGTTTTTGTCTTGTTTCATAATTCTTTTCACCTTCTGTTACTCTTATCAGTTTGTTACTATTAACTGATATCAACCATGGTATGTCTTCTTCTTCTAACTCTTCAACTTGAACTATTGCAAGAAACTTGTATTTGGATTTCTTGATTCTTGTTATATATGCTTTTTTAAATCTTCTGCATATATATTCAATCTCTTTTCTATTAATATCTGCTGGTAGATCCCAGATTGTTACATATTTATGTTTCTGTGTTTCCTTCTTCTTAATATCTATTCAGTCTTCTGTTAGTTTTCTTTTGCTTTCTTGATGTTCATATTCCTTCTTTTTAAACTTTGATGTATTGTTCTTTTCTTTTTAATAATCTTTATCATATGTTTTTCCTTTTCTCTTCTTGTTTATTCTTTCTTCTTCTGCAATCATTCTGTACCAATCACTTTCTTTCTTGCTAATTCTTTATATTGCTTTACTTCTGCTGTATTCGCAGTTAAAGTCTACTTCTATCCAAAGGTTTTCTCTTTTGAAAACCTTTTCAATATTCTTGACATGTTCATTATTCTTTAGTGACTATCTAATAAAGTTCATTTATTCTTCTTTGGTCTTTCTAGGTACATTATGTGCTAATATGTTTGCAAGTAGGCTGTTATTTTAATTGCAGCCTCTTTTGCTTGGTGCCCATATGCTTTCTTCAAGTGGTACTTCCATTATATCAATTTCACTTTTGATTTCTTGATTTCTTTTTTTTTTCTTTCTTTTTCTTCTGTTATTGATTTCTGTTTTGATTCTTTTTCATTCATTTCTATATCTTCTTGTTCTTGCCCTCCTTTTTGTTTCTTTTTTTTCATATAGATGGGTAATTCAGCTTCTATTTGGTTATTATTTGTCTGTCTTACCTCTATACTTACTTTTTTCTCTGCCATTTTGATGATTACTTATGAACTTATGTTGGCCTCTTCATCCTCTTCATTTTCCCTTTTTGTCTCTATTTTTAACTCTTCTTGCCTTTCTTTTATCTTATTAGTCTCTTGCTATTTTTCTTTTTTTTTGTATTTATTCTATCTTGATACTGTTCTACAGAATCCAACTTCTTTTCAAGCAGTTATCTTTCTGCTTTTTCTAGTATTTCTTTTGTTATTCACAGGAGTGCCACTTCATTTGGGTTCTGTCTTGTAAGTACTATGATGATATTGTTTTCTCTGCTAGGTATTGCATATGCCCTGTTTGTCTCATTAAAGAAAATTTTATTGTGTACACTATTCATTGTCTCATATGCCCTTCTTGTGAAAATTGCATTAAGGCTTCCTCTGTATTTTTTTGGCAGATTTCTATTCATGTTGCATAAATGTTTTCTATATGCTTCTATGTCACATGTTGTATCTAGATTAAGCTAGTTGATATATATATTTGTTTGTTTAGTTTGCTTGTCCTAGTGCAGTTTTTTGTGTAACTTGAAGAATCTACAGTACAGGGTTTTGGCAGTTCCCCAATTTTCCAAACAAAAAAATTTACTTTTCATAAAAAATTTTTTATATGCTGTTCTTTGTTGACTTTAAGGCTTCTTTTTATATCTTTTATTAAACTATATACAATTTTTGTTGCTCTGTCTTTTTTGTTAGTATCTCAAGTCTTGTTTCTTAGTCTATTTATTGAGTTTTACTAAGTTTTGCTTTCTGAAAATTTTGGTCAAGGAATCTGCAAAAAAGAGTTGTTAATTAAATAACTAAATTTAATAAAATAAATTATAAACTATATGTAAATACTAATAAAATATAAAATATAATATAAAAATAAAAAAATAGTAAAAAAATAAATTTTATTATAATATTTAAAAATTTTATATAATTATATATATATTTAGTTTCAAGAATTTTAATAAAGTACTAGTATAATTAATATATACAACCAAAATTAATAATAAAGATATGAGCAAAGCCTCACCTTAACATCAAAAAAAAAAAATAAAAAAATAAAGTACTAGTATAAGAATATAACAATATAGTGAAGTAGTTATATTATCACTTTTCAAATAGCAGGTCTAAAGTTAAAATCATAGTATCAATAAAAATTTAAAATTTTTTCTATATTATAATTAACTATTTTCTGTTATTAGTTAAAATAAAATACTTGTTATCTGTATTATACTAGTATAACTAAAAGATTATTTGGCATTTATACAATATACTGTTGTATACAAAAACACAAATTGGTATTAGATAATATGAACTCATAATAAGTCCTTGTGACTAATAAATTATAGAAACTAGGAAGATAAAAGTTTATTTAAAAAACCTAAATAGAGAAATGTTTGAGTTTTTAATAATACTATTATAAAGACTAGATATAACTAGAACTTGTAAAGCTAGATAACATATTAATCTTTAAAAAAGAGTTATTGCAACCAACTAGGCTGCTAAAATCTTTTTTAAAAAAAGATTATATACTAAAAAATATATAAAATAAAGTTATAGTTATATTTACCTTTTTGAACTATTTGGACTAAGAAATTAGTAAAACTTAAACTGAATACCAAAGTAATAGAAATAAGTTGTAAAGTAAGTATCACAGTTGTAATAAACTTTACAAAAGCATAGCAGTTTAATAATAAGTTTTAATTATAAATATTAGTTTTAGTTATAATATTACCAAGTTAGCTATAAAAATAAAATATAAAAGATTATAAAAGATTTAGTATAAGGTTAAAGATTTTTCATATAAGTAAACTGCTTTAAAAAATTAATAATTATATTATATTTTTATTAGTATTAACTAGAATTATTGATAGATATAAATAGATAGATAAATATTGAAACTAAAGTATTTAAATAAAGAACTTACAAGCAGGTTTTAGATATGAAAACTAGTATAAACCTTTAAACAGATTATTTAAATAAGATAATAACTAAAGTTATATAAGTAACTAGTTGTACACTCTTTTTATAGCTGTTTTTTGTGATTGTAATACAACTATTAGCTGAATATGCTATTAATAAAAGGGAAATTCTATTTTGACTCAGGTTAAAATGACCTATATCCTACTAGCCACCAGCCACATAAGAAAGTAAGTAATATATATAAGATACTATACAGTAAAAACAGTAAAAGAAAAGGTTATATGACTGTCTTATATGGCTTAGCTACAATGTCAATTTGAACCAAATTCAGATTTAAGTGAACCCAAATTGGTTCAACTAGAACCAAATTCAGGTTTAAGTAAACCTGAATTGGTTTAACTAACCAAATTCAGGTTTAAGTGAGTCCGAATTGGTTCAACTAGAACCAAATCAGGTTTAAGTAAATCCAAATTGATTCAACTAGAACCAAATTCAGGTTCAAGTAGACCTGAATTGGTTTAACTAGAACCAAATTTAGGTTCAAGTAAACCTAAATTGGTTCAACTAAAACCAAATTCAGGTTCAAGTAAACCCGAATTGGTTTAACTAGAACCAAATTTAAAATTAAGTAAACTCAAATTGGTTCAACTAGAATCAGAAGCACATAAATCAAGATTTAATAAAAAAGTATTATTAATAATATGAGTGATATTTAATTGAAATAGCTATTTATTATTAAAACAGGCATTTATTAAATTTAAATAACAATTAATCATATAAACAAATACAATTAAAGTTTACTAAATACAAATAGAAATAGAATAAGAGTTCAAAGTTAAAAAATTAATAATCATATATTTATTATTCTAAAGTGACTAAATATGATAAGATTGAATATTAGTATAGAAGTAGTGTTAATACAATAAAGTAAAATATTATTATTTATTTTGCTCTTGCTTGGGCAACTTTTGAAGTTGTGTCCATTGTTGCTACAAATACTACATGCATAAAGTTTTTTAGTAACATGCTTAGCACCTATCTTTTTGCGTTTAGTATTACTTGGCCTTTCTTTTGTTTTTGCAATAATAGGATCTTTAATATTGTCTTGTAATAATAGATATTTGTTTTTTAATTGTTCTACAAAAAGAGCAACTGTATTATTGATTTTAACATGACCAACTCGATTAGAGATAGATTCAATATCTTTAATTAAATCTACAGTGTTTTTAGTAGACTTTTGTTTGTCAGAGGATATATCATGAATTATATAATTGAACATAGTAGTAAATTTATCATTATTAATAAAATTGTCACTTTGTTTTTCAGATATAGTAAATCTTGCTGATGTAATTATCCAACAAATACCAATATAATCAACATTTAAACTTTTTTTATCAGTAACATGAATAGCAAGAACATGTCAACATGGTAAAGCAAATTGTATATTATAATTATAGGAACATATATATGAATCATCAACTTGATAAATTGTATGTTCATAATGTTCATTGTAATAGATGTAGAGCAAACCATCTTCTTGCTTTTTAATATCATAATTATTAATTATAGTATATTCAACTGCCATCTCTGAAATTATGATGTACTCTACAAATAGTAGGCCATTTTTAGAGAAGAATGATGTAAGTAGGTAAACAGTAAAGCCTATTTACACGGAAGACTGAGTTAATGATGGTCAGGCCCAATGTACTGGGAAGACTATAGTATCTTTCGCAGCTATGTAAGCCAAGCTTAAAACGGTGAATGACCTTGCAGAAACATCTTCTTACTTCTTGGATTCTAACTCTTCATCTAACTCTAAGGACCTTCTCTGCTATAATAACTTTCTTATCAATCATAATCTCCCAATTCTACCATCTAAACAAACACTATAATCTTTTATTCAATATCTAAAAAATAACTCTTTTAATGAATCTTTTATAATCTCTATTAATAATACACTTACAGAAACACATATTTATAAAAATCTAAAATATAAACTCCTACCTAATCA